TGCAGATTTGACACCCCTCGTCCCCCTCCTCCTCCTTCTTCTAGGACAGAGTGTAAAAGAGTGATACAGACAGCTGAGCCCCTCCCAATTTGTTCAACTAGAAACTGCACAGTTGATAATAAAAGGCAGAATATAACTCCTAAAATGATTTGTTTTTGGTGCAATAAACAACATTATCTAAGGTCTTGCAGATATTTTATCCGCGATATCAAATCAAAAGTGTAACGAAATCCCTTATTGAACAGACCATGCGAACCAGCCTGTTCGGTTATTTGGATGATTACAGCGGGATTTCGTGACAATAGCAAGAAAAGCGAATAAACTACCGAACCACCGACCTCCCACTGAGATCGTGTGGCGCCTATTAACCACCCAGACTGTTGCGGTTAACCACAGACTAATTGGGGAATAGCTGGTGGTCCGCGTTCGTTTACCAAACACGTGGCAATCGCCATTTTGTATTGTCGAACGCTCAGCGGTAAATGGCGAGGATTCCCTGGAACTAATTTCAGCTACTTACTTTGTCGAACACCGCTGCTACCTCTTCACATCCTCGTTCGTATGGTGGAAAAACACACAAATGAAGGGGATACTACTTCATTCGTGCGCTGGAAGTATGCGAAAGTGGCCGACCCCAGATAGCTACAGTATGGAACTTGTAGTCGGCTACAAACACACGAACGGCCGGCGAAAGTCAAACTTCAGTCGACGTTTCTGAGAACTGTGTTTGTGGGATCTGAGCGCTATTCGCCTAGAATATGCACTCAGATCCAAGCTATCTGGGGATATGTGGGACTTAAAGTTTATGTTATGTAAAAGGAAAGTTATAGATTTTTATGCTGTTTTGCTAAAATAAGAAAAACCATGTTTCTTTCTACATGGAGATAATTAAGGCTCTCTTTGCTACCTTAAGTTAATTATCTCCAGGATGGAAAAGAGGGAGTGAGTTATGTAAAAGGGGAGTGCTTATGCTATAGCCACTGTGATTGGCTACTGTGATACTTTTGTCCCAGTCTTCCATCTGGTCCCTTAGGGGAGTGTCCACCAGGTGGGAGACCTGCATAAATACCGGGCGGGTAGCCCACAGTAAATCAGATCGTTTTACCCCTTCATGAAGTCTTGACTCATGTTTGGTGGATTGGGAGTTATAATCACTTTGTTTCAGCTAGATTTCGGGAGGAGCTGCAAGGATCATCGCTGCACGAATAGAAGGATCCTTTACACTGGTGGCAAGCGGCGGGATTTCCTCCCGAACGGACGTACCGAATCGAAACAAGTGGTGAATGGCGCATAGATACGAACGCTTGAAACGAACTACATTGAAGGAACTGCTGGAAGCTCGAGGCATAGTGGCAAGCAACAAACCGAAAGCCACGTTAATAGCCGAACTACTGGAGAGCGATCAAACCGGCAAACAACAAATGGCGAATGCAGAGGAAACAGAGTTCCAGAGGGATGTGAGACGGAGACTCAGCCTGGTAGGACCTAACCCTGCACCAGAGATCGTGGTACAGATCTTGGCACAAGCTACAGAGACCCAGAATGCCAGGGAAGCCCGAGAAGCCAGAGACAGATCACCTCCTGTGGATATATTGTCGCTATCTGGATCTACAATGGGGCGTCAGCGGTTAATCAATTGCGCTGCATTTAAAAGCTTCGTGGAAGGTGAGATGGATAGTGATAATTACTTGCAAGATTTTGAAGAGACAATGTGTGCTAGAAGATTTGGAAAGAGCTAACTGGGCTGCAGTATTAAGCAGCAAATTATCAGGTAGAGCAGCTGAAGCGTTGAGGGCTGTGCCAGATGGGGATATACAAAACTACAAAAAAATAAAAGAGATTTTGTTGGCTCGGTACGCTGTAACTCCTGAAGCCCATAGAAGGAAATTTCGGGCCCTTAGGAGGCAAGGCAAGGATTCGTATACTGGGTGGGCATTTCGTATGCAACGCGCTGCCAGTAATTGGATGCAGGGGAATCAGGCAACTACCCTAGAGGATGCTGTGCAATTGATATTACTGGAGCAATTTTTTGATTTTACACCAGCGGAGGTGAGAGACTGGGTCAGAGACAGAAAGCCAAAAACTGTGGAGGAGGCAGCACGGCTGGCAGACGAATTTCATGAGAGCAGACGGATGGATGGAAACCGAGGGTTCCAGGGCCAGCGGCCTGCATCGGGTCCGCCAGCTAAGCCACAGAGGGTACTACCACCGGGGGGCAATACCACAACCCCGGGGTACCAAAAGACCGCTCCAATGTGTTATGGGTGCAAGCAAGTGGGGCACATCAAACCTAATTGCCCACAACGCACTACAGACCCCTGGGGGCGGACACCAGTACCACCGACCAAAGCAGCAGCACACTGTGTGCAAGAGGATTACAACTCTCTGACTCAAGAGACACCCAGTAACCACAGTGAGAATTGGGACACCTTACATGAGGTGAACCCTGTGCAAGCGGCTGGGGATAACAGGGCGCACCACCGCCAGTCGGTAAAGATAAATGGACAAGAGGCTCGTGGACTTAGAGACAGCGGGGCTACTATTACCTTGGTCCAGCCACACCAGGTCACCCCGACCCAGCACACAGGATGCACCATTGCTGTAAGGGTGGCCGGAGGGGCAATTCATAAACTACCAACAGCCCGGGTACACATTGATTGGGGTACGGGGGCCAAGGCCGTGGAAGTGGGCAACATGCCAGATTTGCCAGCGGAAGTGTTGCTGGGGAATGATTTAGGATGTCTGACGTCCCAATTGGCAGCCTGCAGTCCAGAAGGAGCACTACCTGTTACCACCTGGCAGCAATCCAGAGCTATGGAGGCCTCCCCCTCAACCCATGACCAAGTAAGCAATAACCCTCTGACAATTCACCCTGACCATACTTCTTACTGGGGTACCCCTCAAGACTTTGAGCAAGCTCAGCAGGAAGATCCCACCTTAAAGGGATATCGGAGGGAAGCCGAACAACCCCAGGGGGACGGAGATCAGGCAAGGTTTAGCTGGGAAAAGGGTTTACTGTACCGAGTGACTGGGGGGACAGGGAAAGGAGCGGGGCAGGTAGAAAAAAGACAGTTAATAATGCCCCGTAAGTATCGGGTAGAACTGTTACGGATTAGCCACGATATTCCCCTAGCAGGTCACTTAGGCATTAAAAAGACCAGAGACCGACTCACCCAATCATTTTTCTGGCCAGGGGTCACTAGGGATTTGCAGGATTATTGTAGGACCTGCGAAGCATGCCAAAAGGTAGGGAAGAGAGGGGATCACCCCAGTGCAAAACTACGTCCCCTACCCATCATTGAGGAACCATTTTTCTGAGTGGCAGTTGATTTAGTCGGGCCACTCAGCAAACCCAGTCCATCCGGTAAGAAATACATTCTTACTGTGGTGGACTACGCTACCCGCTACCCCGAAGCTATAGCTCTGTCAAATATACATGCAGAGACGGTAGCGGAAGCACTGGTTCAGGTATTTACTAGGGTGGGATTCCCTAGGGAGATAGTGTCGGACCAGGGAACCCAATTCACAGCGGTGGTTACCCAACAGCTCTGGCAGAGCTGTGGGGTAAAACCCATATTAAGTTCCCCCTATCACCCCCAAACCAATGGCCTCTGTGAACGTTTTAACGGCATCCTTAAGCAAATGCTCATCACGTTCACAGAGACCTGTCGGAATTGGGAAAGATTCCTTCCCCATTTTCTCTTCACCTATAGGGAAGTTCCCCAGTAATCCACCGGATTCTCCCCGTTCAAACTATTATACGGGAGACGGGTCCGGGGACCCCTGGATCTAGTACGGGAACATTGGGGAGGTGATATGGAACAAGCGGGTACACCTATAGTCTCCTTTGTACTAGAGTTGAGGGACCGGCTGCAGGCTCTGACCGAAACAGTTCGGGAGAACCTGCGGGCCGCCCAACAACGGCAGAAGTACTGGTACGACAAGGGAGCTGGAGACCTTATATTAGAAGTAGGACAAAAGGTCCTAGTGCTTAAACCCATCAAAACGGATAAGTTACAAGCATCCTGGCAGGGCCCCTACACTGTAATAGAGCGGATCAGTGATACCACAAACATTGTGGCAGACTGTTCCGATGAAATGATCCGGCGGTCCTTCCATGTAAATATGCTCAAGCCATATCTCGAGAGAACAGAGGAGGTCTCCGCGGTATGCGCTCCAGCGTATGAAGATAGTGAGGGTATCCCGTTACCGGATATGCTTCCCCAAGAACCCACAGGAGTAGACCAGGTACAGTTGGGTCCAGAATTAGGTCCCGAGGAGCAAGCTCAGGCTTCCCAACTGTTAAAGGAGTTTGGGGGCATGTTTTCAGCAGCCCCAGGGTATACGACCCTGGCAGTCCACTGAGTGGAGACCCCAGGCCAGTTACCCCTGCGGCAGCAGCCCTACCGAATCCCCGAAGCAGTACGGGAAAGCATGTTAAAGGAAATCCAGGACATTTTAGAACTGGGGGTCATAGAACCGTCCCAAAGCCTGTGGGCTTCCCCAGTAGTCCTGGTTCCTAAGAAAGACGGTACCACCAGGTTCTGTGTGGACTACCGTAAACTAAACGATCGGACCGTTACGACGCATACCCCATGCCCAGAGTAGACGAGCTACTAGACCGTATGGCTGGGGGGAATTATTTGACCACTATTGATTTGTGCAAGGGATATTGGCAAATCCCCTTGGAGCCTGAGGCCATTCCAAAATCGGCATTTGTCACCCCATTTGGCCTATACCAGTTTAAGGTTATGCCATTTGGGATGAAGAATGCCCCAGCTACGTTCCAAAGGATGGCAGACCGGCTCCTAGAGGGAGTTCAGGGCTTCGCTTGTGCTTACCTGGACGATATAGCTATCTTCAGTGGCACTTGGGAAGCCCACCTGGAGCACATCTCAGTAGTGCTCAACCGAATTCAGAACGCAGGTCTCACCTTGAAGCCAGAGAAATGCCATGTAGACATGGCTGAAGTCCAATATTTAGGCCACAGAGTAGGGTCAGGAAAACAGAGACCAGAGCCAGCTAAGATTGAGGCCATCACCCAGTGGCCCCAACCCCGGACTAAAACACAGGTCATGGCGTTCTTGGGCACCGCAGGTTATTACAGGAAATTTGTAGCGGAATACAGTGCCCTCGCCAAACCCCTGACAGACCTCACCAAAAAGTCCCTACCCCGACAAGTAGTCTGGTCCACTGAGTGTGAGGAGGCTTTCCAGAAACTCAAGGCTGCGTTAAGTGCATCTCCTGTGTTGGCGGCACCTGATCATACTAAAAGGTTTCTCGTTCACACAGATGCCTCAATGTTTGGACTGGGAGCAGTATTGAGCCAGGTGGGAGACGATGGCATGGATCACCCGGTGGCGTATCTGAGCAGAAAACTGTTACCACGCGAAGTCAGCTATGCCACCGTGGAAAAAGAGTGTCTGGCATTAGTTTGGGCACTTAAAAAACTACAACCTTACCTGAATGGACGCTCTTTCACAGTGCTGACTGACCACAACCCTTTGATTTGGCTTAACAGAGTAGCTGGCGATAACCCCAGACTACTCAGATGGAGCTTGGCACTGCAACCCTATAATTTTACAATGCAGTATCGCCCCGGGAAGCAGAATGCCAATGCAGATGGCCTGTCGTGGCAAACTGAACTGGAGAGGTAGTTATTTTGTTTGTTCTTCTTGTTTTACCGGACATCCCTTAGCCGACCCGTTAGGATCTAAGCAGGTATCCTTTTCCATGGGTCTAATGGGGAGCTGTGTAACGAAATCCCTTATTGAACAGACCATGCGAAGCAGCCTGTTCGGTTATTTGGATGATTACAGTGAGATTTCGTGACAATAGCGAGGAAAGCGAATAAACTACCGAACCACCGACCTCCCACTGAGGTCGTGTGGTGCCTATTAACCACCCAGACTGTTGCGGTTAACCACAGACTAATTGAGGAATAGCTGGTGGTCCGCGTTCATTTACCGAACACGTGGCAATCGCCATTTTGTATTGTCGAACGCTCAGCGGTAAATGGCAAGGATTCCCTGGAACTAATTTCGGCTACTTATTTTGTCGAACACCGCTGCTACCTCTTCACATCTTCGTTCGTATGGTGGAAAAACACACGAATGAAGGTCTTACTACTTCATTCGTGCGCTGGAAGTATGCGAAAGTGGCCGACCCCAGATAGCTACAGTATGGAACTTGTAGTCAGCTACAAACACACGAACGGCAGGCGAAAGTCAAACTTCAGTCGACGTTTCTGAGAACTGTGTTTGTGGGATCTGAGCGCTATTCGCCTAGAATATGCACTCAGATCCAAGCTATCTGGGGATATGTGGGACTTAAAGTTTATGTTATGTAAAAGGAAAGTTATAGATTTTTATGCTGTTTTGCTAAAATAAGAAAAACCATGTTTCTTTCTACCTGGAGATAATTAAGGCTCTCTTTGCTACCTTAAGTTAATTATCTCCAGGATGGAAAAGAGGGAGTGAGTTATGTAAAAGGGGAGTGCTTATGCTATAGCCACTGTGATTGGCTACTGTGATACTTTTGTCCCAGTCTTCCATCTGGTCCCCTAGGGGAGTGTCCACCAGGTGGAAGACCTGCATAAATACCGGGCGGGTAGCCCACAGTAAATCAGATCGTTTTACCCCTTCATGAAGTCTCGACTCATGTTTGGGGGATTGGGAGTTATAATCACTTTGTTTCAGCTGGATTTCGGGAGGAGCTGCAAGGATCATCGCTGCACGAATAGAAGGATCCTTTACAAAAAGCAAATGAGAAATTAAATTTGTTGATTGAAAATTTTGACAGAGAAAATACATGTAGTGATAAATCAATAAAGGCCTTTCCTTGTAAACTTATAATCAGACAAATAAAAGCAATTTTAGCTAAATCAAAATTAGGAGACATACAAGCAATGCAGTGTAACACAGAAAGTTATAAGAATCAGATAACTTCAAGAGATATGATCAGTTTAGGGAATGAGCATGGATATGTGTGCCAACAGATGTACACAGGCTGATTCCAGAATTAAGAACAGCACAAAAATAGAGATCTATGTTAGTTTGTTGTTTTAATGGATTGTTAGTCTGAACTGTTTTTTCATTGTTTTTATGTGTGTTATAAGAAAGTATTAGGTTAATTAATTAAAATAAAAATTTACATCAAGTTTGCAAATATGGCAGAATGAAATATACTAATGTAGCAGTTAGGCACATGCAATGTATGTTATATTGGGTGTTTGCGATTACACAGTAATTCCAATCATTTTACAGAAGAAAAAAAAACCCAATGAATATATTCCTTGTTGCTTCTGAGGTTGATTTAAAATCTTTGATTTAATTCATGAGAATGAAATTTTAATGTCATGACTGATAATGGATTACTATATTTTGCAAAGCCTGGACATACATATGTTTGGGGTATATAGAAGACAAAAGTTTTGATAGGATAAAACCTAGATTTACAGATACATTTGATGTAGGAAACAATATATGTTTTTTGTAGTTTGTTTCATGTGACAAAATGGTGCCAGTGTTAAGACAAGATGGCTGCTATTGCTAAAGTATAGTGGAAAATAATATTATTTTTTTTGCAACATCTGACATGTGATTAGGTTATACCTCCAGATAATTAAACAGTTTAAAAGGGGGGTATGATTAATAAAAAAGTTTGGCAAATTTAAATGTTCAGAAAGATTTTAATATAAAGGAAATGTAAAGATTATACATCACATGGCATAAATGCAATGACCACTAGATGGTAGATCTCATGAGAAGAAATGAGAATGTTGTGTAGGCAATATAATTCAATGTTAAACTGTATTATAATAATGAAATATAAACATTGTAAGCCATTGTATTGATGCTGCACATGTTTTTGTTTTAATGTAGGTAAAGAGTGACAGATCCATGTGGCAATAAATCAGGAAAGCATTCCTTTAGACAATTGGACATCGACTGTTGGAAAGAGACTTTTCATCTGATCTGCAAACTGTGATGGAAGATTCTACAGAGTTAATTTGATACAGAAGATTAACAGACATACAAAGAAATAAATGATTGGCACTAACATACATAACAATTCATAAATATTAACAAAGAAGAAAAAAGACAATGTAAAGTTATTTAACAGTTATGAGTGTATTAATACCATAAGAGAGTACTTATAACTATATAACACATGGAGTAAAATTATGATAGGATAGTATTATGAAGATAACTATTACATTATGACCTATACATAGAATGAGAAGTATCAGAAGTAGATAAAATATGAAGTTGATAAAATAAGGATCATGGTTACTTAATACTACAAAGATTGAGTTTAATAGTATTTCATAGATTCACTAGAATTAGTAATTTGTTTATATCGAGGTGAAGTAAAACAAACAATGGTAACATAAGGAAGAAAACTAAGGAAGGATAATTTATATTGATTAATATTAAGTAATGCTATACATTAAGAATGCCTTGGATATAAGAGTTCAGAGATCCAAGAGGAATTGAAAGAGTATAGTACACAATTATATTTGACCAAAGTCTATAGAAGGTATGGACTAGGGAGAATAGGTTTCTGGATATGACGGTATCCAATGAATGAATAAGTTGTTAAATTGTTTTAAGATTTCCCTGAGTTTGTTAGACACAGACTAGGAATAAGTTTCTGGGCAGTATGACCCCAAGTTTTGTTTATTTTATTTTAGTCAGTTGAAGTGTACTAAGGAATACGGATTGATCAGAACAAATGTTAAGGTAACATTAGGGCAATCCTACTTTTATGTTGAGATGTATTACATTAATAAGCCATCACAATGCTAATGAAGAGAGTGATGCTAATGAATTTAAATTATTCTTTCCAAGTAAACCTTTCTCCGATTAAAAGAAAAGTTTGTTACTACAAGGTGGAATTTTAGTGAAAATTATAATTATGTAAACAAAAACAAATCTATGATAGAAAGATTTCTGGGTGGAGAATTTCTAGGACAATAAGTATTGTCAACACCATGAACATTATTTGAAGAATTATTGGAGAACTTCATGGTTGATAACACATCCTTTGAATGAGTCTTATAAGTAGTGTGGATATATTTCAGTTAGTGAGAGCCTACTGAATATACAAATTAAATACTATGATTGTAAAGTATTGATACAATCATCACAAGGTGGTATTAATGGTATAGGAATGTAATTCATGAATACAAATGACCTAAAGATTTTAAGGTTGCTAGAAACCATATGATTCATGGAAATCTAATTGGACAGGATATTATAGTAATACATGTATTAGTACTTAAGTAATATCAGGTATTGAGAATGAAAATACTTTGTTATATGTATCGGTAGGAATATGATAGTGATACACAGTTATTATCTAGAAAGTTACGATCTTGATTTTGTTGTCTACAAAGACATGACTGTACCTGAGCAGGTAGATCTTTCTGATTGCTTTACATTGTTTATTGGATCAACATTTTTAAATTTATTATTTTATTCATTTATTATTGTTATATATATGTATATATTATTTTCAAGTAGTTATGATGTAACATGGATATGGATATCAATACATAGCTGAAACAGAGGGAGTTTTGAAGTAAGTAAGCAGTATGAGGGATAGAAACTCGACCTGCTAAGAACTCTCATATAATAGAAAGTTGTGACTACATCTTGTTCTATGTTCAATGACTGTGATACAAGTGATGTATGAATGGGCAGGTTAGTGACATTGTGTTATGGTTTTAAGACAAACCATAAACAGTGGGAATGTAGAATATTGCATATTCTATTTATCTATTGATTGTATATGGATGTGTGGATTGACATAAGTAACAGATGGTATAAGTCACAAGGCTTTCTTTGTCCGAGAGCTCTGGAATGTGGATGTGGGGTTTTGTCCTTATATGGCTAGAGTTAAATGCTGACGTTAGTATAAGCACATCTATATAGTTACAGAAGGACACAAGGTCACACGCTCTCTTGGCTCTGGGCTCTCTGGCTCTCTCTCGATGTAAAGATGTAAGGATGTAAAGAAGTACAGCAATTACCATCTGCTGTTGAAATCCATTATCCTGTAACATCATTTGCTGTTTTATTATGTATCCGTACCTAAGAATAAACCTGAAGAAACCTTAAGTCAGATTGCGTATTAGTACTTTTCAATAATATAGATATATATTATTGTGGCGAGCATTTGGCCCAAGACTATATATACAAAAGACGTATATATATCAATTAACTGAAGACAAGAAAAAATTAAGAAGCTTTAACAGTGATCAATATCCCAACCAGATTTTACAGATAAAAATAATCTGTGAAATTGATCTGTAAGATATAATGATGAAAATTAATTAAAACATTAAAAACAATAAGAAAAAACTTTGACTTAAATAAACGGATTGAGGTCATATTCTTAATTAAG